CTCTGTCTCAAATAAATAAATCCTTAAATAAAAATAGTAAAAATGAGCAACTGCGCGGGCCTCCACACGCTTATACGCACAGTAGCTTTCTCTGTGTGGACGGGTTTTCTACAGAGACACCAAGTTACGTCTACGTGTGCGTGTGTAGACTCACACCAGTCGCGGCTGTGCTCGATGCTGTCTCATTAGATGTGCCTTCACGCAGACGTCAATGCATTCTTTTGGTCAGAGTCCAAATTTAAAAAAATAATAATAATAATAATTAATAATGGCAAGTTGGGTGTCGATCGGAGCCTGGGGTGGAAGAGGGATGAGGTGGTGATGAGCGGGGCCGCGGCGTCCAGGGCGGTGCCCGCAGCTGCCCTGATGCAGGACGAGGGTTCGGGCTCAAGGCCCCGCCCGGCGCCCCTGAAACAGGCCCTTCGCGCCCAGTCCAGGCCCCTTGCACCGCGTCTGACCCTGCGCGGGGCTGGGGCAGGTGACCGGGCTCCTCCCACTGCGTCCGACCCCCTGAATGGGCCTCGGGCAGGTGACCCGGGCTCCTCCCACCCCGTCCGACCCCTCCGCGGGGGCTGGGGCAGGTGACCCGGGGTCCTCCCACCCCGTCCAGGCTCCTCTCACCCCGTCCAACACCTGCGCAGGCCTGAGGCAGGTGACCCGGGCTCCTCCCACCCCGTCCGGGCTCCTCCCACCCCGTCCGACCCCCTGAGTGGGCCTCGGGCAGGTGACCCGGGCTCCTCCCACCCCGTCCAGCTCCTCCCACCCCGTCCGACCCCTCCGCGGGGGCTGGGGAGGTGACCCGGGGTCCTCCCACCCCGTCCAGGCTCCTCTCACCCCGTCCAACACCTGCGCAGGCCTGAGGCAGGTGACCCGGGCTCCTCCCACCCCGTCCGACCCCCTGAGTGGGCCTCGGGCAGGTGACCCGGGCTCCTCCCACCCCGTCCAGCTCCTCCCACCCCGTCCGACCCCTCCGCGGGGCTGGGGCAGGTGACCCGGGCTCCTCTCACCGCGGGGTCCCCTCCTGCACCGGGTCCGCCCCCCCTGACGTGGGCTGGTGCTAAGCAGCCCGCAGGGTCCCGCGCCCGCGTGCCCTCTCGGGGTGGCCGCGCTGGGTGACGCTGACGGACCCGGTGACATCGCACACCTGCTCTCGGTCGCCGCCACTTGTCTCAGGGACGCAGGGGTAGAAGCATCCGCGCTCCTCACCAGGCCCCTCGGAACATCCAAGCCCCCCCCCCCGTGGTCCCGGGTGCTCTGTGGCTGCGCCCCCGACGCCCCGACCCCACGACCCCGGGCCCAGCACCGGCCCCCCCGGGCGCGCACATCCCTCCTCGCACCCCGACCCCACGACCCACGGAGACCACGGCTGGGAACCAGCGACCAGATAACATCTCAGAAGGCGGCGAGGGTCCGTGGGTTCCTTACACCGCGCGCTGTCCCGAGTCTTTTTTGGTAGCAAAACACCAGAAAAATGAGATCACGACGTGGGGCCTCGCTGCCACACGACCTGCCTCTTCGTTTGTCGGGAATACAGCTCTTTTTAGGGGTGTCTGACGGGGAGCAGAGCCGGGGTACACGTGTCTTTAAAGGGCCTTAGTCTTCAGGAGCCAGGGGGGCTCTGGAGGGTGGAATTCTACGGCTGACATCCGCCCCCCCACACCAGCACCTGCGCAGGGGAGTTATTCCTGGACGCACCCTGCCTGTCGCTGGGCAGGTGTGTGACCCCAGGGCTCCAAGCAGCCGTCCCCCGGGAACGCGTCACCACCCTCCTGACACCACTGGCCTGGACGTGAGGAAGCATCGCAGGTTCCCGTGGGGGGCGGGGGGGCACCATCTGACCCAACCGACCCAGTTCCTTAAAGGCAGGGCCTCAGGGAAGGCACCCACCCCCCAGCGCGCAGCCCACCCCCTCATTCTCAGCCAGCCCCTGAAAGGCACAATCTTTGCAAACAGTTTTACTAAAATCTTTTATTTGTTTAATTCCCACACCCGTTTTCCAGACACCGCGGGGCCGCGGCGTGAGGCACCTGCTGGCCCGGCGCCAGGCGAGCACCCAGGGCGCCGCCTGCAGTCTTAGGCTCCGGGGTGCTTCTCAGGGTCTCCGCGCGGGCTGGAAACGGCCCTTTGCAGGACCCGAGCCGCCCTGCCTCCCCTGCCACCCCTCCCCTGTTCCGGCGAGACGGTGTAGGCTGTGGCCTTTCCCGGGACACGAGCTTCTTGGTTTCTTTTTTTTTTTTTTTAATTTTTTTTTTAATTTTTATTTCACAGAGAGAGAGAGAGAGAGAGAGAGGCAGAGACACAGGCAGAGGGAGAAGCAGGCTCCATGCACCGGGAGCCCGATGTGGGATTCGATCCCGGGTCTCCAGGATCGCGCCCTGGGCCAAAGGCAGGCGCCAAACCGCTGCGCCACCCAGGGATCCCAGCTTCTTGGTTTCTACTGTTCCTCAGCCCGCCACCCTGTAGGGCCAGCTCCCGTGCAGCCCGGGCCCCGTGTCACCCCCACGCGCACTCCAAGGACAAACAGGTCAGTGCCTGAGCCTACCCGCCCCCCCCCCAGGGAAAACGTGTCCTGAACCTCAATTAGCCCTAAGTGCAAGGGCTCCTGTTGGTTTGTGCAATCAGATTCCAGAAGCTTCCCGGGGCCCCGAGGGCGCCGAGCCGGCTGCTGGGAGTTCGGAGCGAGCGGAGGGCAGGAGCCCCCCACCCCGGCGCTCTAGAGAAGCTCCTCGCTCGTCCCAAGTCGTTGCAGTCGTCAGCCTGGGTGCCCCCCCCCAGAGGACCTCTGGGGCGCTGGCACTCGCTGCCTGGCCCTTCCGGCCCAGACAGGCCTGTCCTATTGTCACCTGGATGTGCCCCCCCGTGGCCGCTGCGCCAAGCGTGGGGCCCGACCCTCCGGGGACCTTCCCACTCCCTGTCCCAGCGAAGCCCCCAGAATGTGCCAGAACCTCTGACGCCGTCCTTGCGAGCCCGGACCCTGGGGCCCTCTAAGTGACTTCTGGGTGCTCCCCCAGCACGTCCTGCACGCTGTGCCCTCCTGAGCCTCACCTGCCTCTCCCGGAGGTCAGGCCTGGGCGGAGCCGGCATCCTCAAGGACACAGGGAACTGGACAAGGACACAAAGCTCCGTGACGCTTTGCTGGCGTCCGGCCAGGGCCACCCGCTCAAGGCTTCCCTACCTGCCAGGGGGACGCAGGGGAGCAAACACAAGTGGGGCGAGCAGGGGAGCAGGGAGAAGGAGGAGGGAAACGGAGGCAGGGACAGGAGACAGACAGGGAGGCCTAAAGCGAGTCGGGCGGAGCCCTGAGGGCGGCTCCCGGAGCTGGAGTCCCGCTGCCGCCAAGCCAGCGAGTGACACACCTTCCACTAGGACCGCTGGGTTACAATTCAGTAAGAGGTTCAAGGTCAATGGAATGTTCCACAGGACACCGTGTCCGGGCTTGAGCTTCCCTCCTGGGGGTGCCCGGGGTGTGTGTGCATGTGTGTGTGCAGGTGCACGCGTGTGTGCAGGTGCCTTCTGCGTGTGCACAGGTGCCGTCTGCGTGTGCAGCTGGACGCACAGGTGCATGTGCGTGTGCAGGTGCCTTCTGCATGTGCACAGGTGCCCTGTGTGTGCAGGTGCACGAATGCACAGGTGCACGCGTGTGTGCAAGTGTCCTCTGCGTGTGCACAGGTGCCGTCTGCATGTGCACAGGTGCCGTCTGCGTGTGCAGCTGGACGCACAGGTGCATGTGGGTGTGTAGGTGCCTTCTGCGTGTGCACAGGTGCCGTCTGCGTGTGCAGCTGGACGCACAGGTGCATGTGCGTGTGCAGGTGCCTACTGCATGTGCACAGGTGCCCTGTGTGTGCAGGTGCACGAATGCACAGGTGCACGCGTGTGTGCAAGTGTCCTCTGCGTGTGCACAGGTGCCCTCTGCGTGTGCAGCTGAACGCACAGGTGCACCCGTGTGTGCAGGTGCACGCGTGTGTGCAAGTGTCCTCTGCGTGTGCACAGGTGCCGTCTGCGTGTGCAGCTGGACACACAGGTGCACGTGCGTGTGCAGGTGCCTTCTGCGTGTGCACAGGTGCCCTCTGTGTGTGCAAGTGCACGCGTGTGTGCAGGTGCCTTCTGAGTGTGCACAGGTGTCCTCTGTGTGTGCAGGTGCACGAATGCACAAGTGCACGTGCGTGTGCAAGTGCCTTGAGTATGCACAGGTGCCCTGTGTGCAGGTGCACGAATGCACAGGTGCATGCTCAGCATGGGCCCCGTGCAGCGAGCGCCGCCGCGAGTCACCCGTCCATGCGGGCTGCAGCACCCCCACATGAGGGCGCGGGGTCTTGGGGCTCCGGCTCGCTGGGGACGGTCTGGGGCGTCCGCATGGGTCAGTGGGCGGGGCGCTGGAGTGAGGACAGGGCGGGGCGGCCAGTAGTGGGGATTGTGGGCTTTTGGAGAGGGGGGAAGTGCAGGTGGCAGGCGACCTGACCTTGCGGTCTTCGACCTGACCTTGGGGTCTTCCAGAGGAGCCCGGGTCGCGACGTGACCTCGGGGTCAGCACACGGGGCCAAGGGGTCGCGGTCGGGGGACGGGTCGGGCAGGGTCGGGGTCGGGGTGCTGGGGCGCGCCCGGGGGTGCCAGCGGCTGGAAGGAGCCCGGGCTCGGGGACCCGCCGACGCCGCCCCTTCCCCTCGGCGACCTTGACAAGGTCACGGCGGCGGCCGAGCCCTCCGGGCCGCACGGCGCATGGGCGGGACCCCGCTCCCGGCAAGCCTCGGGGCCCGGCGCGCGGGAAGGGGCGGGGCAACGGCAGCAGCGCAGCCAATGGGCGCGGCGCGAGCGGGCACGGGGCGGGGCGCGTTGCGGCTCCCGGCAGCCCGCGGGGGCGCGGCGCGCGGGAAGGGGCGGGGCGTCGGCGGGCGGCGCGGCCAATGGGCGCGGCGGGCGGGGGCGCGGGGCGGGGCTTCGGGCCCTTAGCGGCTGCGCGCTGCGCGCCCCGTCCTTTCGGTCCCGGCGGCGGCAGCGCGGAGCCAGCGGCGCCCTCCCTCCCTCCCTCCCTCGGTTCGCCCGTCCGTCCGGCTCTCCGCGCCCGCACTCCGCCGCCCGCCTCCCGCCCGCCGCCATGACGGAGCAGGCCATCTCGTTTGCCAAGGACTTCCTGGCCGGAGGCATCGCCGCCGCCATCTCCAAGACGGCCGTGGCCCCCATCGAGCGGGTCAAGCTGCTGCTGCAGGTGCGCACGGCGCGTGCGCGCTCGGGGACCCGGGACGGCGGCCCCGTCGGGGGAAGCGGGGTCCGGGCGTGCTGGGAAGGCTCGCGGTGGGGGGGTGACAGCAGGGCGGGCCGGCCGCGTGCACCGGGACCCGCGGCCGCCGGAAGTGCGAGGCCGCGCCGCTTTGTCCGCGCGCCGCCCGCTTCCGGGGCCGGGCCGGCCTCGCGTCACGTGGCGCCCTCCGCGCCTGCGCGCTGGGGCCGAGCTCTCGGGCGCCCGGAGCGCGGGCCTCGCCCCCGCGGTTCCCACCGTCGAGGGCCAGCGGACCGCGGGAGCCCCGCGAGCGCCCCCTGTGATGGAGGCCGGGGCTTTGCTCCGCCCCGTTCCGGCCTGAGAGGCTGCGAGCCGCGGCGAGCTGGCGGCAACATTGTTGCGGCGCCTCCTTGGCAACATTGTTGCAGCGCGTCCTTGGCAACGTTGTTGCGGGTGGGGCAGTGGGAACTTTGTCGCCGCCGCGGTGGCGCCCTGCGCGGCCGCGCCTCCCGGGATGAGCGCGCTCCCGTGCACGGTTGACCGGTGCGGACCTGCGGGGTCGCGGGGTCCAGTGTCCTGGGCTGTGCCCCGTCCTGTCGAGCCAGTGCACGCTCCCGTGCACGGATGAGCGGTGCGGACCTGCAGGGACCAGTGTCCCAGGCTGTGCCCCGTCCTGTCGAGCCAGTGCGCTCCTCCCGTGCACGGATGAGCGGTTCCAGCTTGAAGGCATAGGCCCCCCGGGATGTGAGCTCTCCCGTGGAGCTACCGTGCTCACATACAGGAATTCCCCTCCAGGAACTCGCCTGCCCTGGGGACGCTGCCTGGTACCGCTTGCGGGCCCTCTAACGAGCCAGTCCGCCCGTCTATCTCGCAGGTGCAGCACGCCAGCAAGCAGATCGCCGCTGACAAGCAGTATAAGGGCATCGTGGACTGCATTGTGCGCATCCCCAAGGAGCAGGGCGTGCTGTCCTTCTGGAGGGGCAACCTGGCCAACGTGATCCGCTACTTCCCCACGCAGGCCCTCAACTTTGCGTTCAAGGATAAGTATAAGCAGATCTTCCTGGGGGGCGTGGACAAGCACACGCAGTTCTGGAGGTACTTTGCCGGCAACCTGGCCTCAGGCGGGGCCGCGGGCGCCACCTCCCTCTGCTTCGTGTACCCGCTGGATTTCGCCAGAACCCGTCTGGCAGCCGACGTCGGCAAGTCGGGCACTGAGCGGGAGTTCAAGGGCCTTGGAGACTGCCTGGTGAAGATCACCAAGTCCGACGGCATCCGGGGCCTCTACCAGGGCTTCAACGTGTCCGTGCAGGGCATCATCATCTACCGGGCGGCCTACTTCGGCGTCTACGACACGGCCAAGGGTACGTGTGTTCTTGCTGTGGGGCTGCACGTGCCGCAGGGGCTCCGGGATCAGCTGTAGGCAGAGCCGCACTCTGCAGGGTGGGAAGTCTGACATCCACATGTCCGTGGGGTTGCTGGCGTTCGTGGCGTCTCCTCGGTGTGTAGATGGCAGTTCTGTCCGTGTGTCCTCACGTGGGCCTCTTCTGTGTGTCTGAGTTTGGATTTTTTACAGGGTGTTGATGGTGTTGGGTTAGGGTCTCCTCTGAAGACGCTTTACACTGTCTTTTAAAGGCGGTTATTTTTAGGCATCCGGGGTTTTCAGCGTGAACATTAGCGTGTGCCATTCACACTCTGAAAGCTAGTGTCTGTGCAGCAGAACCGCCTCTTGTGTGGTACACGCACTTACCAGGCTCGCCTGTCCCTCTCTGTAGAGAGAGCCCGTTCCCAGGCACTAAGCGTGGGCCTGAGGGACCGCTCTATGCCCTGTGGGAGGTTCCTCTGCCGTTCCCTGGTCGCAGGGGCTCCACGTGGCACCAGGGCAGGCAATACTGCTCTTGCCCCACTGTGCGTGCGGCCCTGGAACCTAACGCTGGCTGGTGACCCCGCAGGCATGCTCCCAGACCCCAAGAACACGCACATCGTGGTGAGCTGGATGATCGCCCAGACCGTGACGGCCGTGGCCGGCGTGGTCTCCTACCCCTTCGACACTGTGCGGCGGCGGATGATGATGCAGTCCGGGCGCAAAGGAGGTACGTTGTCTCGGTTCTGGTGACTGCGCCTTGTCCTCAGGAGGTGAGAGATGCAAGAGCTCCTGGAATGACGGGCCCTTTGGTGGCCTCAGGCCATGGGAAGCGGGGCTAACAGATGAGGCTCTTCACAAGGGTTTGAGACCGTAACTGTTGATCCAGGGGCGCTAGAACCCCGCAGCCCTGCCGGTTACCTGCCCAGGCCCTTGGTCCTGCCCATGCTTTGGTCTTCTCTACACTGGTCCGGGACCTTGCACTGACCCCAGGAGTGGACACGGGGCTGCGGTTTGGGTATTTTGGTTATAGCCACAGCAGTGGGCTGAGCAGCGGCCAAGACCTGGGGCTGTTGCTGTGCAGAACCTCATTTTCCCCTGCGATGAGAAATCCAGGTCGCCTGGAGGGTGGCATCCGGTTTCGGTGTGTGGACTGTGTCTTCTGGGGTTCCCTTTGCCCTTTTCCCGAGTAACCTCCCAGTAAGCTCTCCTGTCTGTTCCTCTTATAGCCGACATCATGTACAAGGGGACCGTCGACTGCTGGCGGAAGATCTTCAAAGATGAAGGGGGCAAAGCCTTCTTCAAGGGCGCATGGTCCAACGTCCTGAGGGGCATGGGGGGCGCCTTCGTGCTGGTTCTGTACGACGAGCTGAAGAAAGTCATCTAGACATTCCTCCTCCAGACACGGGGGCCAAGGGAATCACGTAGAATCCTTTTAACTGTTACGGACCATTGATCTTCGAGAAATTCCAGTGTCCTTGTCCCGGCCAGATCACGTAGAAAGGGCTGGGGAAGGTTCCAAAGGGGGCTCATTGTGATCGATCATCGGCACCAGGTTCCATGTTTTGATTCCGGGGGGAGGGCAATCATGACGTCTTCGTGGGTCCACGGGCTGGCAGCTCCGCCGCTCAGACCATAGAGTCCAGGTGCTTGTGGGACCCGGGTTGTGTTTAAGTATTTATTTAAAAAAAAGAATCATGTCTCCATTTGTACTTAAGCACTGTTCTCTTTTGCACAGCCGAATATTTGCAATTAATGTTCCATGTCGGGCATTCTGCTGCAAAACCATAAAAACTGGGACACCGAGTTTCTGGTGCTTTGTTTTCAACGGAGCAGCCTTGTGGGCTCTGGGGTCGGGCATGGTGAGCAGTGGGGAGGGAGATGCAAGGGGTCAGGGAGGCCACGTTCTGCTCTCCCCGGAGAGTTCTTGGGGAGAGTGCGATTCCTAGCACCCTGGTGAGGTGATGGAAACAAGTTCCTTCTGCCCACAGACCACCCTGGGTGCTGAAGACAAGCCAGTGCGAGGGAGCCTGGGGCGCCTGACCCTCCCTGCTCCAGACCCAAGCCTCCTGTGCCACCTGCCAGGACCTCTGGGGCCTCCTGAATTTCCCCTTGCCCTCACCCCGGTGAAGGAGCACAGTGTAGCCAGTCTCCCTGCTGAGAGAAACATCCCGGAAGTAGCCCCAGCAGCCACATCCTGTGGCCCAAGTCCGCCCTGGGGCAGGTCTGCATCCTGTGCGGCTGTTTGTGCAGAAACCCCCACGTGAGGGCTGGAGAACAGGTCTGCAGACAACCTTGGACCTGCCATTGCTTCCACCTGTGAAGCGGGAGACCTGGGGTAGAGAGGCCAGCTGGGTTCTGAAACCTCCCCCGGGCTGGGAGAGGACAGGGACACAGAAGGCGGGTCTGGTCTTCCCGAGACCGGGGTCAAGTGCAAACTCTTGTTTTTGCTGCAACGAGGGGTCCAGTCCAAGATCAGGAGGTGTGGGGGTTGCCCGGGGTCCCAAGGCAGCTTCCAAGGACACAGGACAGGACTATGCACTGTTGACCAGCCATGTTTGCCCTCCGGGCTGCACAGATGAGCCTCTGTGGGCACCTGGGCTCCCCCTGCTGAGCCGTGGGGGTTTGGGGCCATGGCCATGGCCACCGCCTCCCTGGGGCTGTGCTTTCACCCCCCGCCCCAGTTCATCAGCTGCGTGCAGACCAAGCGTGGCGACGGCTGCAACGAAGGGTGCTTGCTTACTGCCGTGCAGGGAAGGTTCAGAGGGGCCAGAGGCCCCTTCCCCAGTGAACGTGGGAGCACAGGGTCTGGGGGAGATCCTGGTTCCTGGAGGTGGGGGGAGCAGCTGTATCTGCGGGTTTGCATACAGCCGGCTGTCTTCCGTGGCCCCGCGTCCCACATCAACCCTGGCCCCTGGGCGGCGGTGGGAGACAGCCGGGCTCCCGGGGCTTCCCACGTGCCACCCTCTGCACCTTGGGGTGTCAGGTGCTTACACGGAATGAAGCCGGAAAACGAGAGCAGGCCCGGCCGCTGAGGCCGCTGAACAGGCTCGGAGCAGCGAGTCCCGGGGCCTTGCGAGCAGCATCTGGGTCGGTCCCATTTCAGGGGAGACTGGAGGCCCCAGGGCCCACACACGACCATCTGGATCCCGCCTCCCCGGAGTCCAGGGACTGGGTGCAAGAGGCCTTTATTTACGCGATGAGCCCGACACAGGTGTTCCCTCCCCCGCCCACTACGCTCCTCTGTGGGTCCCCCCGCAGCCAGGCTGTCCGGGCTCCGGGCCAATCGGGCAAGGACATCTGAGGTTCCGCTTCATGTTTCCCCCAAAATGTGCACCTCGGCCACTGGACAGTCCTCCCGGCTGGCTCTGCTGGTGTCCCAGGGCACCTGCAGGTGGCAGGGGTCAGGTTGGACTGCACACACCCCCCCCCCCCCCATGAAAGCCACGGGGGCCTGGCTGGTCCTGGGCGTGCGGGTCTGGGACCTTGTCCAACTCCGCGTGACTGTCGCCAGGCAGCCTTCCCCATCCCCCCACCATCCTCCCTCCTACCAGGACAGGACCAGCTTCCTGCTCCTCGGCGGCGGGCGGGGCTGTGGCCTCCTCCTCCCGCACCCCTCCCCCCCAGCACGAGCCAGGACGTACCAGCTTGGGGCTCTGGAGGTTGTCCGTGATGGGGTCCTTCATGTGAGGGATGGGAGGGAAGAGTTTCTGCAAAACTGAGTACCTCAGAGGAGAAAGACAACACATGCTCTGAATCCAGAACTCAGAGGCCATAGGCCGCCGGGATGGAGTTAGGAATCCAGCCCCAGTCCCCGGGTGCAGTGGGGGGTGGTCTCGACTGCCTGCCCCCCAGGCCCAAGTCCTACAGCAATGAGGAATCCTGATCCGCAGGGGCAAAGCGCCACCACATAACAAGCACACCTGCATCTCCTGCTGGGGGGGGTGCTGTGCACCCCACCCCGACCCCTGCCTGGGAGCCCTGCCTGGGAGCCCTGCCTGGTTGCCCGGGAGGTCTGAAGGTGGTCCATGGGTTGCTGGCTGCATGGAACCTGCCCCTGCCCTTCCTCATCAACCTCAGCAGGTTGTGCACCCTGGGCGGGGCTGCTCAGCCTGAAGGACTGGGAGGGGGCAGGCGTGGGTGAAGCCAGAGAGGCCAGAGCCTGCTAGGACACACCTCCCCCTCCCCCCCCCACCCCAAACACACACCGGGCAGCGCCTGATAGGGCTTAGCAACTAGGCATCTGGAAGGCACCTCAGGGGCAGGAGTTGCTCAGGCGGGAAAGGTCATGATTATCCCATCACTGGACTCTTGCCTGCCGCAGAGGGGAGTGGGGGGAGGAGGAGATAGAGGGGGAGGAGGAGGAGAGGAGGAGGAGGAGGGGGAGGAGGGCGGCTTCCAGAGGAGCCCCTTCAGCCCCCCCTGAAGGATAGTGGGGGACGAGGAATCTGGGCACGGGGTGGGAAACCGAGCATCAGGGAGATATGGGAACATGCTACAGGACCTGGGACAGAGGGTCCTGAGGATGCTGCACGGGGCACCCAGCTTCTGGTTTCCGTGGGTGGCAAGGACCAGAGAGCCTAACAGGGTCACGTCTCACAAACCCCATGGGGTCACCTGAGGCAGCGGCCTGCCCCCAGGGACAGAGCAGTCCAGCAGGTGAGACCCGCCGGTGGTGGGGGGCGGGGACGGCAGGCATCACACTGCAGGGAGGCCAGCGAGGTGGTGGCACGGCGCGCTCACCTTCTACACAGCAGGGCCACGAGTCCCAGGACCAGCAGTGTCCCCAGCAAGACCAGTACAGACACCAGCCAGTCGCGGCGCTGCTCATCCTTGGGGTCACACACTAGGGAAGAGGGTGCACAGGACATGTCAGCAGGTCCCAGGGGTGGTGGTTGCACGCAGCCCTGAATGCTTCCCCAGGGGCCCCCTCCAGAGGCAGCAGGTGCATCCAGGAGGGGACGGTGGCCACCTGCCTGCCCGGGGAGGGGGGCGGCTGGTGAGGCCCCACCAGGAGAGGGACGCCCGCCCCCCCAGCCCCTACACCTCTCCCAGCCCAGCGCTAGTCCCAGGCTGCGAGCATCCCCTGCAGCGTGGCCAGTAGGGGGAGCAGCTGGCTCAGGGATCTGCAAGGACCTCAGGCTCCCTGCTGGGACAGGAGGCCAGAGGGAGGGTATGAGTTTCCTGGGGTGCCACAACCAAGCCCCACACACTGGGTGGCTTAAATAACTGATTTCCCAGTCCTGCAGGCAGCGAGTCAGATGAGGAGGGGCCAAGGCTGGTTCCCCCTGAGGCCTGTCTCCCTGTGTTCTCCCCCTGGCCCCTCTGTGCGCGTCCCTGTCCTCATGCCCTCTTCCTACAAGTCCTATGGGATCAGGGCCCACCCTACTGACCTCATTTTACCTTGACCACCTCTTTAAAGACCTCATCCCCAAATACAGTTCCATTCTGAGATCCTGGGGGTGACAATATGTGGATTTGGGGGACACATCTGAGCCCACAGCGGAGGGTCTTTGCAGATGTAATCAAGTAAATGTGAGGTCCCACTGGAATAGGATGGGCCCCGCATCAACGACAGGGGTCCTTGGAAGAGACGGAAGAGGAGACGCAGATGCAGAGGACGAGCCCCGTGAGGATGGAGACGGAGACCTGGGCCCCAGACAGTGGAAGAGGCCGGAGGGACCCTCCCCGGAGCCTCTGGAGGAAGCGTGTCCCCACCCTGGACCTAAGACGTCCAGTCTCCAGAGCTGGGGGAGGATGGATTTCTGTGGTTTTAAGCCCCCTCCCCGACCATGTGAGGTCATTTATTGCAGCAGCCCCAGGACCCCACTGACCCACATTTCCCACATGGGACCCCGGAAATGGGACGTTGGTAGGTGTGGTTTCAGAACAGGTCAGGGAGAAATAGCAGGTCTTATTTTGGGGAAATCCTTGCAATCAGAGTCAGGAGCCCAGGCAGGCACCATGTGGGATGAAAGAGGACCCTCCCCACCCCTTACCTGCTGACCGCTTTGTTACCAGAAGCCCTGGGGCCTCTTACTGGGGGTCTTGTCCCGCCCACTCTCTGCCCTCCCATGGGGTGAGCACGAAGCGCAGGGGCACCTGTGGTCTTCAGAGCCCTCTTTGGGGTCACAGAAGTGGGTGGAGCTCCAGCCCTGCTCCCTTGGGGGCCGAGGGCCCCAGAGCACGGATGACGAGCCGAGCCCGTCAGAGCACAGGAGGGGGCTGTGCCTCCTGGCCAGGCGCGGTGGCCCCCAGCGTTCAGCACACTGGAGAGCGAGGTGGAAGGGTGCCCCACTCACCAAAGAGTTGGGGGGCGCTCCATTCGCTCCAGTCTTTGCGGAAGAAACCCTGCACCTTTAGTTTCGCCACGTAGTTTCCGGGATTGTAAATCACGAAGTGGTTTTCCTGGAGCTGCGGTTTAAAAGAAAAGGAGGGGGGAGAGACAACGGGACCCTGGCAGGGGTGCAGCGGGTCCTCCCCAAACTCCTACATGCAAGCTCTCACCCGCCCAATCCTAGAAGCTGACCTTATTTGGAAGCCCCCTCAGCCCAGACTTTGTGGGGTCCAAACAAAAATGTTCTTCGTCATCACTGGGACGTGATGCTCCACAGCCACCCCTGATGAGCCCCAGACACATGTTGTGCACGGCGTGGGCCCCGCACGCTCTGCAGCGGTGACCTCCCACCACCTCCAAGGAAGATGGGTCCCCCTGGAACTCCTGGTCGGGACCTTATTCGGAAGCAGGGCCTTTGCACGCGTGCTTAAGTGAAGGATCTCAAGAGGAGCTCCTCCCGGATGAGGAG